CACCCAAAAGATTAAAGACAGAATAAAGTCCAATTAATAAATACGCAACAATAATAATAACAAAGAACACAGAACTAAGCAATTCAGTAATTTCTAATAATTAATACTACTTATGTGGGTTGGCAATAACAGAAACATTCACAATGGTAATAAAGAGCTCTCTTTTTTCATATTTTGAAATAGATCTTCAACAGCATTAGTAAATTTGGTTATTTCATTTAATAGCAAATATAGTTATGCATGGCAGTGTCTGAATATATGATGTAAACCTTCCAAATTAATGGAGTTAGGAATTGGAAGGACAAATGTGTGTTTGAATGAGATCAGAAACACAAATTTCATTTAACTTAACAACTCCAGTTGTTTAGACATAAAGGTCAAATGATCCTAGGAAAGGCATAGCGTGTGCAGAATGTTTAGAGAACATACAAGAGATTTAAGAATCGCATTTGATAAGGCACTCCATAAAGTGTGCATGATCTTTAAGTACACCCCTTCTAGCTCTTCAATAGCTTTTCCAACAAGTTATCATACAGATGATTCTTGACAATCGTTAATACTATGCATCTATGACCAAACTGTAAAGAATTTAAAATAACTTTTACTAATATAGGGACAATTTAGTGGCTTATCAGCATTTATTCAACTTCAGGGCAATTTGAAATTTTGAATTAAACTTTTCTACCTCATTTGCAAACAGTAGGATTCTTGTGATTCTCAGCCTGAACACTTATGTTCCTTCAAAGATCTCGTGTTTTGGCACATCATTTAACTGAGATTACTTTCTAGAAGAAATAAAGTATTGCTATTCCAGTTGATCCAGATGCTGGTTTTTCCTGTTCAAGATTTATCAGATGATTTAAAATAACGTCTATGTTCTTTTAACTATGCAAAACTCATAAAGTTCAAAACAATTTCTTATGTGATTTAGTGCCAGATATTTCAATTCTGCAGGCCACTAGCATCACATTTTCTATTGTTCTTTTCAGTCTGTTTTTATTCTTTTAGCACCATCTATTTTTATATCATATTTAGGAAGACTGCCTTTTTGTATTCAAAAGAAGCCCATACATGTTTAGAAAATAATTTCTGTGGTACGGCCAGACGGAAACTTGCCATGAAATGAGGATCCTGAAATGATTCAAGAAGGAACTGAAAATTTCTTGAACTTTCTAGCATGAAGGGATTTTGAAACTGTTTCCACTACAAGCTGCTCCCTCTGATACACTGGTATTTTTTCATCATGAGAAAAGACTACTAGCTATAAGAGAACTTCCCGCTTTTTCTGCGCAAGTTTTTTTGTACCACTACCTTGACAGAAGAACAGGGTTAGGAAACATAGGAATGCCAGAAAATACTACACTTTTATTATCTTTGGAAATGCATTTTTGGTCCTGAAAACTAAGAGGTATTGGCAAGGTGTGTCCTGGATGGACCACAGAAATTTTCACCCAGGACCAGTCCCCATTAACGGACCCAGCATTTTTGAAACTCTTACGCATCGAATTTTACTGACTGTCTTGGAACCATATTATAATCCTGGCCAAACCCGGGGCAAATGCAAGGCAAAAGCTGTATGTTTCATCGTGAGATTTTTTTCCCTGCTCTGCTCATGGCTCCTATGTCGTCTGGTTCGATCGCGTACGCAACCTTTCCGAGAACCCTATGTGCTCTTAGCAGGCAGCTACAGTAGTGGATTCCCAAGGCTGTTGCTTGGATGAGTCCAGCAAAGTAGTTCAGCTCAGTTTCAGCGAGGAAACAGTTAAAGAGCTCAGTGTTCCCCTGTGCCCGGGAGGCAGCCTTTGTGTTTAACATTGGCAGGGGCTCAGTTTGGGCTGGAGGTTTGTTTTAATTGGGGGAGGGGGCAGAAAAGAGGGGACGCTCTGACTTCTTCAGTCTGTCTCTTTCTTCTACTGATGTAGCGGAGGTGGAGATTTTCAATCCCACCCAGTCAGACGCAGGCAGGAGGATCTGGTAAGACTATCCCAGGAAAAGCCACTCAGAGGAAATTCTCAGCAGCAGCGGCAGCGGCCACAGCATGAGCGGGAGCAGGAGCGGGAGCCCGGCGGAGGAGGCTCGCCGGGGGTGAGGCACTTCTCGATAACGCTCCCGATAACGACTGGGGGACGATGGTGCACCTCTGTGCGTCTGTGAGTGAGTGAGTGCGTGTGAGCGTGAGAGAGAGGGAGGGAGCGAGAGACAGGCACAAGGCAGCTTGCCGTAACTATTCTTAAATAAAGTTTCACAGTGGATAGATCTTGTCAGATGCTCTATACAGGCTGCAGGGGAGGTAGAACTGATTTGCCAAGTGCATGTTGGAATTGATCTTTTGATAGTGTTACAAGCGGAGAGTGCTTTCCGTGGCGTTAGAGGAAGAAATACAAGGCACTTATCCCAAGAGCAGGAGCGCTCGCTGCCTGTGCTGGGGTGGGAGGCAACCAAGAGAAATCCGTCCTGCCGGCAGTCTTTCTTTCAGCGCTTGCGTACCCTCGTGAAGTTTATTTGCTCCTGTTTACATCTCGGCTGCCTTTTGGGCAGATGAATCACCGTCAACGTTTTAGCTCGTCTTTAATACTTCGAACAACTCCATTTCCAATAGTACGGTCTCTTCTTGTGAATCTCGGCACGGCAATTTTTCTGGCTTGACACCCCAGGCAAGTCAGGAGTTTTGTTCCCTGCATCGGCGGGGGGCGCCGCCGGGGCGGGGGGGGGCAGGGGCGGGGCGGGGGCGGGGGGGCCCGTGCTGTAGGGGCACAGGCGCAGCGCGTGCATGTGGCCTCCAGATGCACGCAACACCCTCACACGCTCCAGGTGTTCAGATTACACGTGAAGGAGAACACTGGATTACGTTATTACACACAGTTATTACGGGTGCTAGTATGTCACTTACATGAGGCAGTTTGCATGTTATATTCTGTAACAATATAAATACTTTGAAAATTTGCACAGAGGAATGAAGGATGGTCAGGAATCCCAAAGAAAATATCCTTAGAAATTATCGTATTAAAAATTTTCTAGTTTCGCTTCTTATGGAAAAGTTTCTTCCGGGAGAGGGAAGAGCTGGTAATTGGCAATTTTGTTTCTAGCTTTGCATGCTGGCTGCATGATTGCCATGCTACCACCATGTTCATATGAGATTATCTATCTATCTATCTATCTATCTATCTATCTATCTATCTCTCTCTCTCTCAAATTTTCACAAGAAAACGTCATTAAATGAGGAGGATACTAATATAACCACTAAAGTATAGGGCTGTGGGTTCTGTTCATAGCTGTATCACATTTACTTGGGCAAGTATGAACATGGAAAAGTCATTTAAATCGTTAGCGATTCAGCTTTTCTATTTGTAAATTGGGGAACCATAGTCATAGTAAATAATAAAAGTATTAATACTTGCCTGAAAAGAGTTACAGTCAAATATGTCTGTTGTTTCTGATATGATTTAGAAACCTAAAGTGAAAGCACTTACATCATGCAAACTGTTGCTAACTGCCTTGAGATACCACCGCAAACGGCATTTAATAAAGAAGGATTTACTATTTAGTATATTAGACTTTAAAATCGAGTGCATAGGAACTCACAGTTGGTCAGATCACCATCTCAAATACACCAATCCAAAAGACCGTAAACGTGGATCCCTGTCTGTGAGGGATAGCACTCTACACGCCAGCCAGGAATACTCAAGTTAACATTGCATTGCTGCTGTACATAGGTACACACACACTTCTACAGACCACACGCAACAGAAGAGGGTAATAGTAGTAAATATTTATACTGTGGCTGCCTCCAGAAGTCCTATCAGTAAATTGTCCCACATTCTTTCTCTGGTAAATTTCTTGCTATAAACTCTGACTTAATAGCTCCATAGGGAATGACATTAGGATTCATTTATTTAAAAGGATCCTCCTAAATCCTTCATGTGAGTCCCTAGAAATCAGAAAGTTATAAATACTTTACTTTCTACTCTTCTTTTCACAACACTGCAGCACTTTGTCTTGTTTTGCAGATATGAGCCATGTAAAAAAATCTTTATCGTAAATTAAACTGAGGCTTGAAGGAAATGGACTTGAGTGGCCTCCTTGGTTTCACTGGAGGTGTAGTATCTGTACCTACTGTGGCAGGGAGCCAGCTCTGGTGGTTACACGTAGGCAGTCATACTTATGGGAGAGAATGCTATGATGCTTCCTTTCCTATACGCACATGTCATGAGTTGTTGCTTAGAATACTAAACCAAGTATTTTTTATCTTTAAAAGAGCTTAAATTTTTATCATTAGCTGCGCAATGGCTAAGTACCGAACATGAGTTGCAATGACATTCAGGAACCAAATAACACAAAGTTTTGAAGGGCTTTTCCTGGCCAGAGGTCTACCCTGAGACTATAAAAGTCTTCCTCCTAATATTTAGGGACTTTGGATCTGGTCCAAATTTGATTTGAAATACATGTATTTTCAGTCTTCATTTGAAATCCAGGTAATTATAAAGTCAGTGAAAAATAATATAAAGCCTCATTGTTGCACTATATCAAAAAGACTCAGAAAATTAACAAATTTACTACCTTTAATTATTAATGCAGTGCTGATACCTTTTTCAATGAAAAAATAATAACTTTTTATTTTAGCTAAAATATCATTCAGCAGTCTCCAAGGTCTCTCTTTGCTGGTACACTTTTCTTGCAAGTCTATATTTTAAAACAGAACTTCATCCACCATAGTTTTTCCATTCATATACAAATTCTGTCTCAAACTAAAAAGATTTTGCAGGATCTCATTTGTATAAGCTATCACTTACGGTATTTTTTGTGTTTGCCTTTTGTCAGACAGTTAATGTGGGTCATCTCGACTTCAGAGTAGCACAGTGATTACAAACAGGTGTTTATACATACGTGCTGTAGAGACTGCACATTCAAATACCCTTCCTAAGTGAGAAACAGGGTGTGTTAGTCTACCTCTTGTATTGATTCTGTGTTTCTTTTTTGATTTTGCTTATTGTTTCTCTCTGCAGGTGAAGAAGTGGGAAGTATCTCACTGAAATACTGAAAAAACCCTGTCTCACTGAATTTGCTCTTTTGGGACTTCAGGATGGAAGCCTTGTGCTTAAGAGTTTCCTTGCTGCTGCTGGTTCCAGGATTTGTCCTCAGTGACAGCTCTGACAGATATGCTGCCAATCAGACTGACTTGGGAAACTACCTTTCCACTTTCTCAGGGATCGAATCCAGCATACTCCTCACCACCAGGCAGCCCCTGGTGTCCAACCAAACCGTCAAATGCTCCCAACAGACTAAGATTGCTGAAACTTTTAAATACATTAACACAGTGGTATCTTGTGCTATTTTCATCGTTGGAATGGTTGGGAATGCAACTCTGCTGAGGATCATTTACCAGAACAAGTGTATGAGGAATGGCCCGAATGCACTGATAGCCAGTCTGGCACTAGGAGACCTCATCTATATTGTCATTGATATTCCTATCATGGTGTACAAGGTAGGATGCAACAACAATACATTCTAATTGCAGTTTCCTTACAAGCACGCTGTCTGTTCTCTATGGTTACTTCTTTGTCTAAGTAGCGCTCTGTTGTCAATGAATAATCCACTTAAGAAAAGCGGACTTTTGTTGTTCTACAACAACAGCCTCGCTTTCACATCTCACCTCCAGAAAGAAAGAGTGCATCTCCTTTTAAAGATGATGTAGCTCTTATCTTTTAACCAAAGCGTGGCCTTGGGCATTTCACAGGACTCTTAATTTATTATAGCTACTATGGCTAGCAGAGGAATTTATAAGGGAAGACTTTATTTATAAACTGTTCTCCTCCTTGATGGACATACAGCATTGGACTACTTGCTGTTTTTGGAATATCCTATCCTTACTTGATGTTTTTACAGAAAATGCTCTCTGTGATCTGCAGGCTTCATGTTATGACTTTGCGGAGAGAGATTATGTCAGTTAAGCTGAGCGTTAAGGTTTTAATTTAATATTCATTAATAGCAGATTCTCAAAATTATTCCAGAGTTAGTAAAATCAATTATATCATAGAACATTTTTTAAATATTAAATTTCACCTGGATTTGTCAAAGTATAAAATGATCCCCAGCGATTGTTTAATCTGGTATAAAGTTATCCTGTCCCAGTTTTTTTATTTTCCATTTTAATGAAACAAAGCCATAAAGCAGTGCTTTTTCCGATGCAATATATGTTTACTAATGTAACTGGTATGAGTCCAGGACAGGCTTGAATGAACAAAACTAAGTCATTTTTTATTATACCTTGCTGATATCTTAGAAAATCATCAAAGAATTTTGTAAGCTTCTATCTGTATCTTTGTGGATTATACACAGGTGTATAGCTGATTGGATATTATAATTTTTCTTTCTTTTCTCAGTAAAAACTTAAGGTGTTTCTGTTAGTAAATAAAACACTATTATAATGACAAAAAACAATTCCTCACAATTTTGGCCCTTAAAGATACTAGAGGCTTAACTTTTATTTATACGTGTTTTAAACAAAACATTTTAATGCATAACTTTATAATAACTAGAGTCTTGTGGTTTCAAATTGGATTTTAAAATTAAAGAGGCAGTGAATTGAAAAGACATATTTTGTATCTATATATTGACATCATAACTATTGACCTGCATTATAACGCAGGTATTGATAGGACAAGATCATAAAAATTCGAATTCATTAATGGATTAAAAATATGTATATGTGCATATGTTACATTTGTACAGAGGCATATTACCTATGGTAAAATGCAGTACCTGGTTCTGATCTTCCAGTAGGATAAATTACATATAAGTCTTTTAACTTTATCTGGTTTTAATATAATATGAATTTGAAACTAGGATAAAGACTGTTAATAATAATGCACGTGATTTAATGGAAATTCTAGTTTCCACTTTTCAGTATGCCACCTGGAAAATTAAATAATCAATTCATTGATAAGATAGCAGATATCTGTAGAGTATTTTGGATTAACAAGTTGATGAGAAAGATTAGCCTCTACCTGATTTGAGAGTCACCTGTCTTCCATAGCTGTGTGGATGCCTAATGCGACACGGGATTGGGGTTCTGCATGTTTTCACTATTCTTAGTGAACCGGACTCATAGCCTGGACTGCATCTCCCATGATTCATTACAGTTTCCTCCCTGGTAAATTATCTGGATGTCTTTATGGATAATTGCTAAAGCAGTGTTCTTTCTTACTTCTTGTGGTATTTCTGATAAGAAATTTTAAGGAAAAATGGCACGTGGTTTTTTCAGAGCTGAGTTTGGGAAAGAACAGGTATTTTTATTACACAATTTTTTCTAACCTTTCTAGAGCTCTGCTGCTTCTTCACAATGAGGAATGGAAATCTGGAATTAATTTTGCCTTTCAGAATTGCCTTTTGGTGGTCTTCTGAAAATTCTTTAGAAATTTAGTTAAAAGTGACAAATAATATTTTTTACATTCCTTTTATTACTTTGCAATACATTTTTTCTTTTAATTTTCTGACGCTTCTTTGGCATTGTACAGGTTTACTTGCCTTGCTATATCTTATATGATGAGCTGAACTGTGGTCCTGAATGTCTCTGTACAAATGAAATTATTTTAGCCTATATGAAAATTTATTTCTGTATTACAGAGATGTATTTGATAAATAAAGTCTGTGAATGAAACTGCAGCCCCTTGACATCAATGTATGTCAATTCCCACATGTAAGAAGGCAGAATTAAAATCACATTTACAAGCATAATTCTAGCTTTTAGTAATGTTTTGAGTGCTTGAACCTCCAAAATAAATTACTTAAAAATTACCATATACAACCACCTTGTTGTATAAGGTTAGCCACATGTGTTCTGATACAGGGAAGCATTTATAGCATTTATAAGGGAGCTCCAGTACTTCTGATAAGAAATTCTACTATTATTTATAGTCCATTTTTCATATAAACCATTCAGTAATATGTTTGCTTGCATTAGGAGTAGATTTTAAAGTTTGTTAAGTGGC